TAAAAGGCAAAATACAATATGCCTTAGAATCCTTAAAGCAGAAGTGTAAAGACCCAAAAGAAGAGAAGAAATTGTGATTATGAGCACAAGAAAATGAAGAGAGAAAAGCTTACCTAATCCTCAACAAGCAAATTACATCCCTTATAGATGGAATATTCTTGAATCTTGGCACTGTCCTCGGTGAATGATCAGCGTCAGGGTCGTTTCGGATATCATCTGTTCCTGCTTTCAAGATTGGCCGCAACATATTGTCACCGGTATCACATACTTGTTCCTTAAGGGAAATTCTCATGTACGCGAGTCCAATGATTGATGCAACTGTTGCAACCTGGAAAGAGATTTAGCAAACTCACAATGAAATCAACATTGTGTTTGCTTCAAACATATTCCTCTTTAATACCTTATTCCATTTATATAATCAATACTACAATCTTGGATTTGTAGTTTGACATGTTAAAGAGGAAGTCACGAAAAATTATCTGAAAGAAACATGAAATTGATTTGGAAGTATTATGTAATTTCAACTTAAATTATTATTTGTATTTTGTTCTAATTCGTACTTTATAGAATTAAAACTCAAATCAAAATATAAATATTAGCAAGAAATTATAATAGAATTGGAGAGGTAAAACCTGAAATGTAAAGGTGGTGGAGAGGAATCGAGCTGCTAAGGTTCCACAGAGCAAGGAGGCCGAGAGTACACCAGCTAGAATTCCGAACGCAGATGCCCTCTGTTGCTCTGGTACGTTATCTGCCTGCACATAAATAAAAAGTTGATATTGATAATCTAATTTAAGGTAGATATTCGAAATTTAACTGTCATTTTAACGTAAGATTAACAATGTATTATTACCATATAAGCATGAGCCAAGGTAACCACGCTTCCTTCACAAACCAAGCCGAAGAGGGTCTTGAGCACATAGTAGGCATAAAAGTATGGCGTCTCTATACTATATGCCAAAATACCTGTAGTCATGTATTAACTAAATTAAATTAAAACCTCTTCTTACTGTAATAAATTAATATCATGTTTAATTGGTCAGATCTAATTATTTGGCCCTACAAAGTTTATTTAATTCGATATTAAACAAAATATCCATTCTAAGTAATTTTTCATGCTAAAAGCAGCCTGGGTGACAAGATTTTCAATTACAACATGCACTACTTACTACTTTTAAGATTATATATATATATATGTGTGTGTGTGTGTGTGTATCTATTGCTTTAGTTAAATAGATGAAACGAATTGAACATAAAAACATTTTTTTTATATATTTTAAAGTTTAAAGTTTTTAGTAGAACCTCGAGCAACAAGCTTAGAATAGATGCTCAAACTTGTACATGTGGGCTTTTGGCGTTTTGTTTCTATATTCAATCTATTACTTATTTAAAGCAACGAAAAAAAGCACCATTTTAATTATATATTGATTTAAATTTTGAATATTATTTAGATTCAAAATTTTTATTGTATAAAATTAAAATCTTAACAAAGTCAATATTATTTGTATTTCATTCAACTTGATAAAATAGAATATAAACTTTAACAAAGTCGGTCTTACTTTCTAAAAAGTTATATTCCAATATTGGGTACGCAATTTAGAATAATTTTCCTTTAATTAAACTATTAACATCAAAAAACCATTACTATAAGATTCTTTTTTGTTACTAAATTTATAAATTTCATACAAATAGTTATTTTAATTGTTACAAAAAATTTCAGAATACATATAAAAGATAGAAATTCATTGGTGTAAGTACAAGTTAGTAAGAGATGAATATTTTCATAACTTTTAAATGGTTTATCCATTAATAAAATTTTTTTGGACACATGTTTATATCATAAAATTTTTAAAGTGATATTTATGTTGGTAAATAAAAAATAAAATATTATGCATATAAAATTTACAAATATATAGCTAAGATATTCACTTGAATATTACAATGTAATAATTTGTAAATTGGAAGAATTTTCATTTCTTCCTAACTGAGTGCTCAACCTTAACTCATTCCATCCTAAACTGAATTCACTCTTACCTTATGCAAAATGCTCTCCTCCCCTCCTACATTATATCCTAGTTATGTAAACCACTTAAATTTTCACCTAATGAGATAGTCCAATGTTTGTCAACTAAAAAAGGTTAAAGGTTTGGAATGTGTGATATGAAACCTCAAAACCAAGCCATTGTTATAGAGCTAGGCTGAAGACTTCCATATGGACTAGAAAGGTTGTGGTTCTTGCTTTGTGTTAAGTACTTTCATAATAAGAGAGTGACCCACCTTCTGGCTCTGTTTCAATAAGGATCATTTACCTAAAGAAACATAATTAGACCTATTTGAATCCATAAGAAACGGATCTAGTGAGTTACTGTGAAGTAATAAGTAGAGTAAAATTTTGAGGATCCATGTATTACTCAAACGGATGAAGCTCACTAAACTCTTGGAAAAGCTTCAACAGCTTTTTATTGAGATCGTCCACTAATCCCAGTTTCACATTTTGAATGCAATGAGGTCTCATCAATATAATTTTAATTACCGCCTCATCAAAGTACACTAAAATTGAAATATGATGTATCAATGGTATTAGGAGTGTATTCAACTTTTAATTTTATTGACAAAGATGATAGTGGTAAGGTTATTTTTGTAGGAATGAAACAAATCTTATCCCTCATTCTTGTTAGCCTAGTTGAGGTACTTGCATTGTATTCCGAGATGGAAGTTACCATGATTTATATAATTCACACACACTTTTGTAAAAAAGAACTCACCAAAATATTTTCTATTCTCTCTTAGGATAAGCATGAGACTATGTCGCTAGGATTCTTGGTAAAGAATGCTTTGTATTACAAGTCTATATTTATTTTATTTCTTCTCTTTAGACTCCTAGAGTTTGTAATAAGATAGCAAATATATTAACTTGCGAAACAAGATTTATAATCATATAGGTTTTTCTAGTTCTCTGTGTTTATAAGATTATACTAATTGTTCGTGTTTGATGTTTTACAAGAAACTAATTTCTGTTTTTTTAAAAAATTCTAAAATCTTCCTACAACTTATTATATATTACTCTTATTATAGAATTAATTTATTGAATTCGAATTATAATTTTTACATTGTATTAGAAAATGAAAGATCAAAAGGTGTTTAATGCAGTCAGATTTGAACCAAAGTTTTTGTTTGTTTGGAACTAAGTTGTGAAGAGCCGCGTAAATCCTACACTAAAAAAAATGGGGGATGGACGATAGAGGTGGCCGATTTTCTATTTTACATCCTCACGATACAATATATATATATACATATGTTCCAATATGAGCTTCTTGTACCTCGATAGCAACCAATATATATATATATATATATATATGTAATGTATTAGCATTGATGTATGTATGTACAAGGAGCATTTATTAAGTTTAGAGTAAAATCCCGGGGACCAATGGAGAGTGATAAAAAACAAAAGACAAATGATGAGACGATACGACATTACCTTGACAGCAATCAATATATACGTGTGTACATATATATGTAGTATATAAAGCAGTAATGTATGTGTATGGAGCACTCAATTAAGCGGGACCACTTTGAGAGTGAAAAGAATCAAGAAGAAAGACAAAACACAATGATGAAATGAAATGAAATGATAACCACGTTATTATTACCTGAAGGAATTATAGACAAAGTCATCGGAACCGTCAGCAGAGCTTTCCTTCCATACTTATCGGACAGGTTTCCGATCACCGGCAACATCACCAGCGTCCCCAACCCTACCACCTACTTAATTAAATCCTTTTACTTACTAACTTCCAAAAACGACAACGTCTTACTACAAATCAAGGAAACAGGCCGCTCTGTGTCTATATATATACACACACACACACATATATATATATATATATATGACTCATTTGACATCTTAATTGGATTAAGAAAACTGAACAAAAAGACAGTTTACTAACCCTTGTATTGACTACTGTGAGAGAATTGAGACAAAGCTAGCAGATCATGAAGTGACAGACTAAATATTAATTTGTATGCACAAAGAAAATCCAAACAAATTTCTGGGTTCTAATTACGGACCAATTCTTACTAATAGCTTACTATGTATGAATATTTATTTTGTTTGTTTTTTTTAAAAAACAAAGCTCTAATATTGAATTAGTTGATAATTAAGAAAAATAAGGTTTTAAACTTGTAAGAAAATTGCAGAGAGAGAAAGGTACCGCTTGTTGAAAACCAGAGAGGTAAATAGCAAGAGGGCATTGGTCTTGACCAGGACAAACCGCCTGCATTGTTAGGTCGGTAATGGCTGGAGCCACAATCCAGTCTGCAAACCCTGATAGAAACACTGTTATGAAGAAGTGACTTAACCCTCTCAACTTATTCCCCATCTCCATCCTCGCTCTCTCCCTTCCCCCCCACTTTCTCTTATACTTATAGTCACATATGTTAACACCAATAAGTGTGTGTGTGTGTGTGTGTGTGTATATATACTTGGCAAAGTAAAAAGCAACCATTACTTTTTGAGGTTAGTGGAGTTAGCCAAATATAAAATAAAATAATAGTATGAAAATTTGTTAACTGTATGATACGTATTACTTTATATAAGATTGTGGATTAAAATTAAAGTTGTGTTTTTAATTATAAGATTATATTATAATTAATACGTATATATCAATTGATTAATAATATATATTTTTATAAAAATATATATAATTTTATTCAATAAATTAAATAATTAATAAAAATATTAATATTAGATGGATTTGAATTCATCCTACAGAATAATTTCTTAATCTGTCAATAACACTAATTAATCAACTAAACCCAAACAGTTGGTTCAATAATTTACTTGTATTCTCTCTACACAAGAGGCTGGCATTCAATTAAATTTAAATCATTTGGATTTATATATATATATATATTATATACTTTTTTCCATTTTCTAAAAAAAATGACTTATTTAATGAAAAATCATGTCATCTGTAGGGATACGCCTTTACGTTATAAGACAAATAATATTCTTCATATGTAGAGAGGCAGCCAATATAATGTTTTCTTATATGTATATACAGTAATTAAGGGACTAAAATATTGCCTTAAAATTATATATACGGGTATCCTGCATTCCATTCATCTAATTTTTTTTTGTAAACCAAGCTGGGTAAATATCATATTTTTCTTCATGTGTGCAGGTAAATGATTTACTTTTTCCCAAACTTACTGCAGTAAATTAATTCAAGAAAACTCAGTACATAGTGGTAAATATAATTGATGAGTAATGTAAGGATCTTGGAAACTCTAAATGAGATAAATTATAAATTTAGTGTAGAAGCAAAATAAATAGTCAGGGTTTACATTTCTTACACAATAACTGAAAGTACTAAATCGAACTTACGAGAATAACCCTTTTAAAAGAACAACTAGTAACCAAAGAAATAAATTAAAAGTAAACAAACTGAACATCTTACTCGCAATTCTCTTGTGGATCCTGATCTTATTGATCTGAAATGGTTAATGAAAGAGTGAGTTACACAAACTCAGTAAGAATATCACGCTACTCACCGATACAGAAATGAAGGTTGGTAAAAATCATAAAAACAACTAATGAAACTTTTAAATAAGCAAAATCGTTTATTATAAATAAAATTATTTACCGTCTACTTATCGTAGTAAGATTTACAAAAACAACCTATAGAGGTAATAACATAATACATATCATAATTTTATATGCAACTGTAACAGCCCCGGAATTTTAAAATGAATTATGTGTATTAAAAAGGTCAAATGCGGAAGTGTAATAAAAATTTTAATTAACATCCCTTACACTAAAACCAAAAACGTGCTCAAAGTATAAAAGAACAAACTAACTAAAAGAGAAACTCAAAAATAAAAGCTATAAATATAACTACGGAGTCTTCAGGCGTCCCCTTCGCCGTCTTCCTGCGGAACGGGCTCGGGAACAATGTCTTCCTGATCTGAAATGATTAAATAGGGAATGAGCTACACCAGCCTAGTAAAGACATCACACTATCTCACCGTCACGGAGGTAAAGATGGGTAAAAAACACAAAAAGACCAATTGAGCATAATTTACAACAAATTCTTTTATCAATAATAAAATCTTTTACTATTCACTTACCTCGGTGAAATTCATAAAACAATATACGAAAGCAATAACATTATCATCATCATGAAATCATATGAACTGTATAACATAATACTTATCACGCCTTTTGCAATTCAATCATTACACAACATATTTTTCCTCATTTACCAGTTTACTAGTATCCATGGGGATCCATAGGGGTCCCACTACCCGTGAACCCTTAACACTTGTAATCAGATTCCAGGGTCGTCCCCATACCCCGTCCGGTATAAGTGCCAAAACACATAAGGTCTCTATACTCCGTCTGGTATGAGAGACCACAATCCCGGTAGGGTTTCCTACGGACCCGGTCCGTCCACCATCTCTCAGGATATCTAGTCAGGCTGACCACATTATACAATTATCAATTTACATAACCTTTCATTTCCCTTTTTCTTAGTCAGTATCATCAATTCACACAAACAAACAAACCAGTAATTTATGCCAAACAAGACAACATATAACATCGGGTTCTCAGTCATTCAACCCATAATTAATAAAACAGTAATATATGCACACGAAACTATGAAATGAAAACATCAGACCTCATACTGTATTTAAAACCGTAAAATAGGCCAAACAACAGCTAACCGACAAACACACCAGACTCGGGCTCCATTAGCGACCTTAAACAATTTCACACATCTGTTGATTCATGAAATACCGTTTTATCATTTATTGAACTTTAACAGCGTGATAGGAAATAGGGTGAGGGGTCCTTACTTGTTTCGGGGTCCGAATACGGCTCTACAGTGCGCCTACAGGCTGTCCCTAATTTTCCCTGAATTTTTTTCTGAGGAACTGAAACGCACTACTGGTACCTGCACGTGTCCCAAAAAATCCCAAATTAGACCCAGGGCCCCTTTCGGCCAATATCGCAATTCCAGCACGGCGGCGATTCGCCTCGAGTTGGCTGTTTTCGGCCGTTTCTGGCCGAATTCAGCCACACTTGCATCGGTCCCTGCGATAAAACAACCCTAGAGCCCTCAGGGGCGAAAAAAATTATGAAAAACCGAAGCTTACCGGCGGCAGTGCTCTCGGGTGCGGCGGCTCTCCGGTGAGGTTCGTGTTTTGGTGATTTGGCTCCGATCAACCTGTAGAGAAAAGAATGGTGATCACTGTGATATAAAAATTGTATCAAACAGAGACCGGGAAGGGCCTCATCGGAGGTAAAAACCGAGGAGGGGCGCGGCGGCGCCGCTGGGTTTCGACCGTGTTTTCCGGCCGTTTGGCCAGGATTTTAGCTCCGATTTGACCACAGGGGAACTCAACATTGAAAAACGAGCCGGGGTATGAAATTTACCTCGATCGGCGGTTGAAAAACTCCCCGGTGCGGCGGCAGGTGGCGGCGGCCAGCTCCTCTGGCGTCTGGTTCGTCTTCTCCGGCGAGGGCAGGCGGCTAGGGTTTTTGTGGTCAGGTGTGGGGGTTTTATTTATACCCTTTTGCCTTTTAATCACAGCCGTCCATCTTGATTAAATCTGGGCCGTTCGTACTTGATTGAATCTGGGCCGTCCATGCGCGTGCATCTGGGTCGTCCGTGCGCACGCTTGATC